ACTGAAGGAGGCAGAGGAACATAAACAGTCCAACTGACACAGAAAGAGACTGTTCTCAGGTAAAGTCCAAACTCCTCATAATGGCCTAGAAGGCAAATTCTGGCCCCGCAGACCTTGCCTTCCTGGATTAATAATCTGTTCTCCCCCCTTCTCATTTTCCATATACAGTGGCCTTCTCTTCGGTCCTAGACAATGCCAAGGTCATTCTGGTCCAAGAGCCTTTGAGCATAATGTATTCTAGGTTCAGAGGACTCTTTCCCAGCTTTTTCTGAAGCCAGGTGAGCTCATTTTGATCACCAGCTTGGCAGACACGAAGTGTTAGGGAATTAACATCCCAGGAGTAAAACTTCAACTGAAGAGGGAATGATGTGGATGGATAGAGCTTCAACCAAATGAGCTTCAGACAAACAATTCTGAGACGCCATCTACACAGTGCCTCCAAGGACATCCAGGGAAATGAAAGCAAGTGCTCAAAGTGGGAACCAGGTCAGGAATGCACCTGTGACTGCCTTTTCCACCATCCCTGTGCCAGCACCCTGCATTCTGGGGTCACACCTTAGTTACCCCTTCACCCATAACCAGATCTGAGCTCAACTTTTCAGAGACAGCAACCACTGCTACTCCCCCACTCTTGTCCTCTTTCTATATATAAATATATGTATAGAAAGATATATATATATATTAAATGATTAAATTAACAGATATTTATTATGGAATACTGTAAAATACAATAAATTATACTCTCAGTTCTAAGGAATGAACACTCCTACTGTGGAGGTAAATCACCTTCCCCATACATATATTTGATCTTGCATGTTTTTCTCAGTGTAAGCATTCCCCCATGGCATTAAACATGCTAATATGTGGTTTTAAATGACTGTAGCGATCTCATAATAGCACATACGCTCAGGTTGTTTCTTGCAATTATAACTTATGTTCAAATGAACATCATTGTATGTAAGTAGGTTTTCACTTCTCTTGTTTACCTCAGGGTGGGTTTTTGAAAGAAAGTTTCCGAGTCACAGTATATGAACATTTATTTAAAATACTATTGATATATTCTTATCTCCCTCTTTCC